TTGATACAATGGGTAGCTAATTTGATTTGTTTGTACTGCTAAGTGCTAAGCGTTGAGGATATGAGACGTTCTAAAAGCTTGAGTTAAATTTATAATTACGACTACCTTAGTTACACCTAAATTCATCTTTAATTGGCCTAGAAATCTTAAACCATAGTATATTAGGTCAGGATGAAGTATGCCTATTCTTGTGAAGGTTTATCTGTTGTTCTTTTGTGCATACATGTTGATGCCGTTCTCCAAATTATGATACCAATGAAAAGCTTATGTTCCACATTGGGTTGGTTGATAAGACTCTTTGGTGTTGTTTTGGGACATATGTCTTTATTTCTATATCAACTATGATTCTTGACCTGGTCAAAGAACATAAAATTTTACACATGTAGTTTTCAATCCTGATCTGTTATGATGCCTTTATACATCTTTCTATATCCCGGCTTCAGTTAGTTCTCATGGTCTCATTTCTAACAACTGCAAAACAGGCATATGAGAAATGCTTTCAGAATCTTCATTACGTAGAGCGTCATGAGGAGCATACCATTGCTCACTCAATACAGACTTCTTACAAGAAAACCAAGGTATTTATTTGAGTTCCTTTATGACCGTATAATCTATTCATGCCACTTATCTGTATATATATGTTCTTTGTAAACTGGAATCTGCAACTAGTTATATCTATGGCCTGCACCAACAACGACGGGGATGAAAGCCGGTAGAGTTGTCAAAACAATCTTGCTCCTAGCAGGGTTTAAGAACATCAAATCAAAGGTGTATTTTTGCTTCATCCTAACATAACACCGATTCCTGAGTTCAAGTTTGGTAATCATTAAGTATGGTTATGGTCCAAATTCTTCAGGTGATTGGTTCAAGGAATTCATACAACACCGTTAAGGCAGTTTTGAAAGCCTTGAATGCGGTGAGTGGTCTGAGGCTGAGCTCATGACAGAACGAGATCAATAAAAGGGTACTTAAAACCTTATAATCTGAACCAATCTCATTTCCTTTTTGTCAGGTTGAAACGCCAAAGGATGTTCAAGAGAAGTTTGGCCGGACAGTTGTCGAGAAATATCTGCTGTGAGAGCTGCTTCATGCCTTCGGTATGTATTGTTGAGTTTGGAATGAAGTGCTATGTTTGGTTTTAGATTAGTAATTTGTTTCTTACTCTACAGTAGACTTAATCCCTTTATGGTGTTGGTGAAGAATAAAATTGTTAAAAATACACTCGTCTTTTCACCAACTCTACTAGTTTTGGTTCTGGTTTCTGTTATNTTCTCAGAAACCTTATTCAAGTTGGCTGTGTTGTTACTCAAAAGTTCTAGAATCCCTTTGCGTCAGACTGAAATCCTATTGAGTGAGTTATATCGATTCTACATATTGGTGTATTTGCAGACATGTGGTGTAGTAATTCTTAAACGCACACTACACCAGTTTTGTCAACTGTAGACGGATTAGACGATGGATATCATTGTCACAACATAATATGATGGTGATCAATTCTCCATGCATTACCGACGGATTTTTTTTTTTTGTTAACTGTTCATTTCATTAAAATATCTTTCAGCCATCGCTTATCCAATTTGGTGGTGTATAACATATAAAAGAAATTCAAGCAGCCTCGAACGAATTGATCGGACCAACATTACTGCATTATTTTTTCTTTTTGTCCTTTTGCATGTAATTTTAGAATTACATTCCGTTGTGTATCTAATTTGCTTGTCACGCTTGATCGACCCCAAGATTTTTGAATGCATATGGAAGATATATATAAAATGAGACCTTATTTTTAGAAGAGAAAGTGCAGTCCATATACAGTTAAAACTATATAAATTAATATTGATGAGTTATATTCTGAAATATATCAAAATAAAAATTTAACCGATAAATTCATTATAAAAGACAGTGTGGTTAAAACAATTTACATAATACAAATGGTTAACAACAACAAAATATTAATTATTTCTCTATTGAAGTTGAAATTATAATATAGTTCGAAACAAAAAAATTTCCCCTAAAACATCACTTTCTATAAACCGGAAAATATATAC